TTGGCTATGACAGTGATGCAGACGAACATATTGAGTTCACACTGATCTCTGAGACTTGCTGTTAGCCTGCTTATTCCTGCTCGCGATGGCACCAGGCGCTTTAGCCACATCTGTAGCCACTGTCACAAGTGCTGAGGGTCACCCCTAAAAACAAGGTACGGTGAAAGCCCACATGTTGAAGATTCTCCTCTAGATACTAAAAATAGTTCTGATAGACCCTGTACTACTGCTAGTGACACAAAAATACACAGATCACCTACCACAAGAAAAAGAAAAGGAGGTAACTACCCATGAAGGACAATGTTTTGTTGCTATATGCCACTAATTTATTTCTAAAAATTAAAAAACCCCAAACAATTTACACAATGAAGAACAGCTGGTGCAATCCAACTGTTCTACTAATGCAGTAACAGTACTTAAAATTACCTGTAATCTGGCATAATATCTAATACCACATACCTGTAAGTGCTAAAATGTGTATTTCCTCAAACACCCTGTTTTCTTGGACTATGACACTCCAGGAATAACACATTCTTCCTAGGCCGTCTTTATGGGAAGACTCTCTCTTCAATTTTATGATACTGGATAAGCATCTGTTTACTCTATTGTCAGCTGAAAATAGACACAAAGATGGTTAGACCTGATGTATATCCAGTTGCCAAAAATGATGAAAATGTCATCCCTACTAAGACCTGACTATCTGACATCTGTTTCTTTGGGAGACAATATATATTCCTATTCCTGCTGGAACAGGGAGTGGGAAAGCACTGATGAGCTTAGCTAAATCCCATTCTTAGTGCAGTCACAGTGAAAATGGTTGCTAAAGCCCAGCTGATTGTTCTTGTGCCAGTGCCCTGGGGACAATAGCAGCAGTACAAGGGTGTGGGGGATGCTCTCATTTGGCTATCAGCACAATTGTACTGAGATTTACTGGAGGAGGTTAGAGAGCTCCCCCAGTACACCTCTTCCCATTACCATTAGGCTCTGTGCTGTACCCTGACACAGCTGTGGATGACACCGGAAAGGGGCACACCTTTTACCTCTCCTCCATCAAGCTGCTTTGCTCTATGTGGCAGCAAAGTACCCACACCATCACAAAAACCTGCAGAGATAAAGAGCAGAACATCCATATTTCATACTCCAGTCAGAAATTCTTTGGGAGACAGTAGCTATGAGGTGATGATGGTGTGGCTGCGTCCCGAGGGAGGGAGAGCCCAGCGCACAGCCTGCATCTGCACCAGCTGATGCTGTCAGCTGTCATGGGAGTACTTTGGCTGTTCTTCAAGTGACAAAACTGTGGAACTTTGCAATGAATCTTTCATCTAAACAGAAAGTATGCAACATATTCCGGCCACATACATTGTAGTAAAAAGTGCTCTTGGTCAGAGGCAAGTGAGTTCTCTTTAGCATATTAGCAATTAGCTGCACTAATTAAAAAAGCCCAGTGACAGAAATGTATTACCATTTTAAAAGACTATCTATACAACCATGAAAATTTAATCTAAAAGAGACAATGCCATGGTACAAAAAGTTTATTTAGTCACAATTTTGTAAACATATGAGGTAAATTAACATTTACATCAACTTGTTTCTTACAGAATTTAATACACAAGGCACATCTTTGAAGACAGTACTTCTGTTTGCTGTTGCTATTGTTACAAGTTCCTGACAGCCCAGAAAACTTGTGTTTGTTCTCAGATTCTGTTATGTAAAAGACAAACATCTGATAAGCACAAGAAAGCTCTCAGTAAGCTTTCTTATGCTTTACAACCCTTTAACTGTGAGAAACGGTGTCAATGGAAATCAGGAATATATTCTCCATGTTAAAGTATGTTCACATATCTTGCATAACTCTTCAAGGACTGAAACTTCTAGAATTTGATCAGCATCTTACAACAAACTTAAAATGCAAATCTACAATTTCTTTTTCACATCAGTGGTTTTTTTTTGCTTATGCAAATAGTCCCGTTACCTTTCATGGTCTTATTTGCAAGAGTAAAAATAACTTGCATAAAATTGTATTTGCAGGCTCAGAACCATGGTTTTGGCTAGAAAGCAAAACATTGGTCTTTTGAAAAGTCTTCTACAGTGTAACAGTGCAGTGTTTCTCTACAACTTATTTCGTTTAGAATTTTAAACCAGGCTGTAAATTTAGCTCTCGAAGGATATATGTCACAGCTACTCTTTGTCATTGAACCTCTAAACACACAAGGAAGCACGTCAATAATAATGAACCTTAGTTTATTTGGTAATAATTGAGTTCATGATGGAAAGTTATCTTTTTCTATAGTGTGCTCCCTATATATCCTGCTCCTATATTTTAAATACACAGAGAAAACTGATCAATGATTAGGTTAAACCATCTTTAATGGGACTGCCTTATGTCTGAAGAGTTCCTGTTACAGTAAGACATTTCTCTCTTAAGTTTAATATATTGGCAGAGTCATTCTTTTACTTCTTATACAACTGTAAGCTTAGAAAACCATTTATTTTATCCAAATGTGCAAACTGAAATCAAAAACTGAATGTAAACGTCAGAAAATCAAAATTACAAGAGCACACACTTCACAAGATAAAGGAAAACATTTGGAATAAAATAATAATAAAAAACCCCAGCCTGTTCAAATCCACAGTGTTAGTGTCTGTATTAAACAAAAAGACCTGGGGGCTCAACGCTCTGCTGCAGACTGTTGACACCCATGTGAACTCAGTGGAGTACAACAGTTTGTAGCAGCTGAGGAGATGGTCCCATGACTATCCAAAACAGGGCCTAAGTACTGATCTGATTTTTAAAGCTTGCCTTATTTTACTGATCCTATACTTACATACTCACACCAGAAAATAATCTCGAGAGCTGCAAAATGTCAGACATTTAATAAGCTCTAAGCGCCTTCATAGACAAATATACTGAGGAAAAGCAATCCCTGGTACCACTTTGCACACAACTTACACCAGAAAAATGCACAGTTCACTGGCTTTTTCAGGGCACGCTACCTATTTTCAAGAAGTTAGGATTTTTCGATGCCAGCATGGACCAACAAATTCAAGGAGCACTTTTTTATCTATGAAAAACTGAGAAATTGATTTTCATGTTCCACTTCGATAAAGGGAAGGTTCTAGCAGGCTGTCTTCATTTAATCAAAATACAAAGGGATGAAATGTTGGGGTTTAAACTGTTTAAACTCTTAAACTGTTTTCGTTTGTGTTATCTGACAGCTGCACTAATTAATAAAGCCCAGTGACAGAAACCAGATCAACTGCATCCGTGGCCAAGAACTTACGTATTTGTGTATTTTTTTACTGTAATCTTGTAGCTTTGTAAATTTACTGTATCTTTGTGAAACTATAATGAAAAATGTACTAATGAAATAAGTGGTTTGGAAAATACGTTTCATATAATCATGGTGGTTGGAAGGGACCTCTGGAAGTCATGTAGTCCAACCCCCTGTGCTCCAACCAGGGTCAACTAGTGTCAGTGAACTGACTTACTCCTAAAAGAGCAGCACATCATACACATGGTAACTTGTTCGAAGAGTATCTTTTTTCAGTTTTTTCCTTTTCTTTTCCACAGCTTACCTTAGCCTTTTTTTTGTAACTTCCAGTAAGAGAAGAGCAAAATACGAGTACTGGGTGGGGGGGGGTGGGGGGGGTGGTGTTCAGTTTTCTTAATACCTGGCATAATTCTGTTCTCAATTCCACTTTTGCAGCAACTTAACCTATTGGTCTCATGTACATGTATAAGATCTTTCAGGACTGTGGCTTGAACCGCCACATGCCTAGGCTAAATCAAGTATAATTTCCCTCTTTGGAATTAATTCATGTGAAAGAGTAAACAACTTGGAAATTAGCAGATTATATTTGCCAATAGATTCTGTTCAGCAAGTTATTTGGTGTTTGTATGTATTTTCTAGAACTGTGGAAGTCTTCATAATATTGCTTTACTCATAGCATGTAGAATTCAGTAATGATTCATGTGTAAAGTACTCAAAATAAGCCACACCAACAGGACTTTTTTTTCCCATCAAACCTGATTCCAGATGTGATGCAGCAGCTAAAAGTAATTAGTAAGCACTAAGGGGGAGTTCTGCCAGGAGTTATCTGGGCTTAAGTGAAGAAACAATTACTGGACTCCAAATGAAATTGTAGGTAATGAAAAGGCTTGACACTGTATAGTTATATGATGGAACTTAAACTGATTTAAAAAGCACAACCTGTGAGTTGTAGCTTTGCTTTTTTAGACTAGTACTGCTTGGATGCAGAGGCTGCTCTGTCAGATCTCTCTTAGGGGTTTTTAGTAGAGTTACATTTCTCCCCCCAAGCTTCATCTAACAGGAAAAATTATCTTTAACAGCTTTCCAGTAGTTACTCTGCCTGAAAATACCATATATACCACAAAAGCACCTGAACTCTCTGCAGGTCTATCCACGTTAATTTGAAAAGGGTAGACTAGGTATCAGTTGATCCTAAGTTAAACCTATCTTTGTTATTTTTTTTTTATATATCATACAGATGCAATCCTGCAGGACAGACTCTTTGAGGGCTGTTCTAAAGTAAGGACTGCAAGATTCAGAGCTCCATCAAACAAGAAGTCAGTTTTGCTCTCAGGCATTGATACAAAAACCCCACATATTCCAGGTGGTCTGGTTTCTATAAATACACTCCAGAGAGACTTTTAGACTTTATTCTTTAGAAGCATAAAAGAAAGGAAAATACAGCCCATGAATTCTGATGTACAAAAATACAGAGATGCATACTGCCTTATCTCAGCAATACCAAGTTCTTGGCATTTAGCAAAACTTACATAACTGCTAGCATAGATGCTAGTAAATCTACCAATTTTTGAGTATTAAAATGCCTTTGTTTACATCTAAGCAACTTTATCAACTTTAGTCTAAGTTCAGCATAGTTGCATGGATACAAGATAAAGTAGAATTTAGCTTGTATCTTTCTTGCAGGAAGGGTTTTTATGGCTTATAACAGAAAATTCATGAGAGCATGCCTGAAGCTTAACACCTAATAGGAAATACCTTTATTGTACTACTGTACATTGATTTTTAATGCAGTGTCTGCCCCCAAAGTCAGTGGCGGCAGAAAGACTTCTCACCTGGTTCATCACAGGCAAGTCAAGGAAGTAATGATGAGACATCATGGCCAAGAGTTGCAGAACAGTGCTTCTGATCATGAGAAACTACACAGGGTTTACTTGTGTCTACTCAGAAAGCAGTAAAAATACGGGTTTAATCTTGAGTGCTGGAAATATATTTTAACACTTGAATAAATTGAACACATTCAGGAAAACATTTAACAGCAGAGGTAACTGGCAATTGTAACTGCTTGCCACAGGGTGACCATGACTTGCTTAAATAAGGACTCCTCTGCCAGGCCAAACACTTTGAAGATGCAAAGAGTTAGCCCAGTGTGTTTGACTGCTCTTCTCCAATCACAGTACTTTTGATTTATAGCAGCAATAGGACTGACTTCAAGCTTCAGTTCTTTTGGATTTTAATTAGAACAGAAGTTGGGCCTAATCCTGCATTCCTTTTGTACCCAAACTCTCCTGAGCCTTATCAGGCATTCAAAATTCTGACTAATGTCTGTGAGAGTACTTGTTACAAAGGAATAAAGAACAGAGCCAGTTGTAAGGAAAGCTGCACTTTAGAAAAAAAAAATACCAGTAGTTTCCTCCACCCATTTTTCAAGGGAAACATAATTTTCAAAAGCAGGATTTTAATGTCTTTATCTAAGGCCCCAAATCTACATTCTTTCTAGCTCCCAAGACTCCATGGGAATGTTAGTTTTTCTTGAATAAGGCCTGTAAGATCCATCCTCAAATCTTGCTCCTTGTTAAATTGAATGGAAATTCTGCAAGTGACTTCAGTTTGATCAGAACAGACCCATCAGCCACTAGCATGTGGTACAGATATTTTAGCCACCTTTTCTGCAATACAATATTGTCTAAATCTTTTTTCACTGACCTGTAAGACACAACAGACTGTAGTTAAAGGAAAGGGTAGGACACAACAGGAAATAATGTTACTTTGGGAATTTTGCCATTAATAAGTGTCTTTCCCCTTACATTTTCTTGTAAGATCAAACTAGAATGATTAATTACACAGTCTAGTAATTTTAAACCTACAGATCAAAATTAATTCTCAAAATATTCAAATACTTAAAAATATGCACTCAAGTTTACTTCTAAAAAGCATTTTCCCAACAAACTTAAGCCGATACCTAATAGTCTAAAATGCAGAGCTGTACTTTATCCTATTGTCTGTCCACAGGCAATGTATAGGGCCACAGTGTATTGAAATCATAATCCTTGCTTTCTGAAGAGAAATTGTTCCGTGTAATAATTTCTGAGGTGTGGTTTAAATTCCTGTCCTCCTCTAAGCAATTTCAGGAGTCATCTAAAATTATAATCAAACATGTTCAAACATATTTGTAGGCTTAAAAACATGGTGTGATCATGGTTGGCAAACACTGACTAGGTCAAACTGAACACTTCCTAACAGGTCAAGAGTAAAAAAAATTATAGAAAGATGAACCTCAAAAATCTATTACAGGGGTTACCTAAACTCTGCCTGGCCAAGGACCACACTGGCAATTTGCCATGAGCACAAAGGCTTCATTAAGTCATGCTATATGGAAGAGACTGAGTCACCTTTAATACGGCAAGTTGGTCCTGTGAGGTGACAGGTGCCAATAGGCAATACGCCACCCTGATGTTTACCACAGGGCTATGCAAGATTTAAGGGGAAGAAAATAAGTCATTGCATCTGCTCGTGTAGAGCTTATGTGAAGAAGGGTGGAAGTGAAGGCAAGGGCAAGAGGGAGATGACAGGCAGCCACGTGGGCACTGGGGATATTAACATTTTTCTCAGATGAAATTCAGCCCCTGGACACATGACCAGCAACCATCACCACCTCTTATCTGTGCGGGCCTCCCCCACAGTTGCCTTTGGGAGATCTGCCATCAACATGTGAAGGGAAGTGTGATCGGTCCCCTGGCCCATGGGCTGTGCTTTGGTCACCCCTGACCTATTAGAAAATGTTGATACTTTTTCCCACTACAACTCACAGAGTGCAAAAACAGCAAGCGTCAAAGTTTGAAGCCCAGGCCATCCCACCACGTGAGGCCTGGCTGCCTTGAGCAGCTCCCCTGCCCTCTCTGCCTTCCACCACCTGCTCCTCAGAGCAGAGGCGACCGCACTACACGGCCAGGTCGTCTGACCTGGCTCTGCAGCTGCTCGACTTACTGGCCCTGCTCAAGCGCCGCGTGTCTACGAGCAGCGGTGGCTCATGCATCTCCACAGTGGTGCAGGCAGGCGAGACGGGCCGTACTTCTGACACCTCCTCCTCACCCTCCACATCCCACTTGCTGCCACTTGCCCCGCTCAGGCTGGTGCTGCTGCCACTGTTGGCTGCAGCAATGGGCGGCCCCACTGGGGGTGGGAGTAGCTGCTCCAGTGGCTCTTCCTGCTCAGGAAGAGGATGCCGGACACTGCTGGGGGTAGAGGATCCTGTGGAGCTGGAGGGTGCCTTCCCCTGCTGCTCAGGTGCCATGTTGATCCAATTCTGCTCAGCCACCATGGCATGGTTGTTGCTGTTGAAGTAGTTGATGACGGCTGGTGTTGGTGTGGGGATGGGGGTCGGGATGGTGATGGGAGTGGAGATGGGTGTGGGGGTCACAGCACGGTGCCTCTCCTCAAGAACTGGTGGAACAACAGGGTAGCTGGCCACGGAGGCCGTGTTGGAGGGGGGCCGTGGTCTTGGAGCAGCTGCAGCGTAGTACGGTGCCATGGTCACTGGGGCCAGCAACGGTGTGACAGCACGGGTGTCAGGCAGAACAGGGGTGGGCACGACAGTCGTTACCACCACGGGTGGTGCTGGGGGTGGCAGGGCAACAGGTTTGGACTCTCCTGTTACCATGACTGGTGTCATTGTGGCAACAGGCATCTCAAGGCTGTACCGGCTTGTCATGCCCTGCTTAAGCTTCTTCCACCCCAAGTGATATATCTCAAGCATGTTCAGCAGCAGGGAGACAGAGGCCACCACTAGCATGAAGATGATGAAGATGGTCTTCTCAGTGGGTCTTGAGATGAAGCAGTCCACAGTGTGTGGGCAAGGTGAGCGGCTGCACTGATAAACTGGCTTTAGCTCAAAGCCATATAGGAAGTACTGACCCACAATGAATCCCACCTCAAACAGTGTCTTGAAAACAATGTTGAAGACATAGGTACGGAGCAGGGCACCCCCCATACGGATTCTACCACGTTCATCACGGATCGGGAGCTTCTCTTTTCCCCTTTTGCCAAGAGGATCCTTGAAGCTATTGCTGCCTCCTCCACCACCACTGCCAGACACTGCTGCTCCTGGGTAGTTGCTGTCTTTGACGCTTCCCTTCTTTTTCAGCTCTTCTTTCTCTTTCCTCTTCTCCTCCATTCGTACAATGTGCAGCACATGGCCCAGGTAGATGAGGGTTGGAGTGGACACAAAAATGATCTGCAGCACCCAGAAGCGGATGTGAGAAATGGGGAAGGCTTTGTCATAGCAAACGTTTTCGCAACCAGGTTGCTGAGTGTTGCATGTAAAGTCTGACTGCTCATCTCCCCAGACCTCCTCAGCAGCAGCCCCCAGCACCAGTATCCTGAAGATAAACAGTACCGTCAGCCAAACCTTGCCAATAACTGTGGAGTGCTCCTGTGCATTCTCTAACAGTCTCCCCAGAAAGCTCCAGTCACCCATTGTTTCAGATTTATAACCTACAATAAGAACATTAGAGCAATTAGAGTAATGTTAAAAAAAATCTTACAATTGCACAATGCCGGGGCACATAAGATTGATTCTCCTCAAATGACAATTCTTAAGTGCACTTCCTTGTAGACTATGGCACACATGGTAAGAACAACAAAGCCCTGTGACCATGCAGCCATGGGTTTTGGTGAGCACAGAAGTGGGATGTTTAGTGCTTACACCTGGCTCATACATGTGTTTTTTATATATATATATATATATAAAAATATATAACTACACACACCAAGCAAGAAAGATCTGTAATTAAAATTTCTAAGAGATTTAAATATTTTTAAAACATTATTTCTGTTTTCTTCACCTGAGATGCCTTTAACTTGCCTGTTTTTAGAATAGAACAGGTGGAAATCAGTTAACTTAAACTGAATATTCCAATCATTAATCTTTGATTTATATAACTGCACTTGTGTCAGAGTGTGATACAAAGTTTGCCTAACTCTAAACATGCTGTTGTTACCAGGACTTACTTACTCCAGCATTCAGGAAGTTAGTAATGTCCAAGTCTCTGCTATTTTCACACTGTACAAACACAGAAAAATAATTACTCAAAGCCTATGGAATTTACAGTTTAATTATGGAATGTGTACACCACCACCAAGCATGTTCTCAAAGCCTAGTCAAGTTTGAGTTTGTTGATTTCTAAAAAGAACAAATTATTTGAGTAACCTGAAATATTGGGAAGAATCAGAACTTCTGAGAGGAATGGTGGAAAAGTTTCTATGGCATTTTCCTTACTGTCCTGCCAGCTGGTGTTACTGAACCACCTGTACTGCAACATTATTAAAAAAAAAAAAAAAAAAAAGGCACTTTACAAAGTGTGCACAGAGATTTTCTTAGGAATACAAAATTACACCCTATAACCTTCATTCTGTGACAAACAATTGGTGTATAGCTTCTCAGTAGTTTCCAACAATTCATGTACGATGGGCTTCCTATGTCCAATTCTAGGCAGTGACAGAACTTCTGATTTGGAAAGGCTTAAAGTACATGACCAGATTTCTCACAAGCTGTCTTCAATTGAGAAACAAGCTGATACCTGCTGGTGTCACTTTTGTTATCCTTGGCCTGTTCCTAATTGGAATGCATGTAAGAATATTAGAATATATGTAAGAAGTACATTTTATTCTTCTAATGAACACACCTGTGGTTTATATGTCAACCTTCAACTGAAAACAAAATGCAAAAGTTTCACCTAATTTCAATACCTTCAGAAATACTTACAGAATAATTATCATTCAAATATAACAGTTTGTATGGAGAAGAAAAACAAAACACCACTACTGGAAAAGTATAATTATCTTCTTGTTTAAAAATCTCCAAATATTTCATAAATACAGCTGAATTACACTTTAATCTTTTTATTTTTATACTTATACTTTTGTCAAAATACCCATGTATCTTACAATTCCCAAGAAGAAAAGACATTCATCATGACAGGTAGGATATTACCACTGAGAAAAAGTATTAGTCTTGGTAGTATATTTACTGTGATTTCCAACAATGATGTCACTGGTTTTCCAGATGAAGCATTTCCAAAGTCTGTACTGAACTTCTGTCAGTCTTTTAGTTAAGGTTATTCAAGTTACCTTTTTAATAACTTTACTATGAGGCAATGAAATACCAATAACTGCAGATAGCATACTGTCACACAAAAGGACACAACACACCCATTCGTATTTTGTGGTTTTGTAAATCCTGGAATACTAATTCACTTTTTATCCCCACAAAGTTGACTCAACAAAAACTCCCCCTAAAAAATAGATATTTGATAATCTACAAAAGCACATTTCCTTTAATATAACTAAATCCTTTTCCAGCAGAGAACAATAAACTGTAGATGATAACAACAATGAAATGTCAATTTTGTGTAATAGTGTCTCAGGTCCTAAAACAATTTTAAATCTTTTTTTTTTTTTTAATCTCAAAATAGTAGCCCAAAACTGAATAAATTGTTAGAATACTTTTGTTTTTATAATCCTAATTTAATATATTTATATTATTTTAAAATTTAATCCTCAATCCTAATTTTGTGAAGTTTACAATATTTTGGAAGGTGAAGTAATTTTAGTCTTGAGCAGTATTAATTTTTAACAGAATCATTAATTAATTTTGTATCTTTTTTACCAAACCATTTGAAGACACACTCTATTTAGTTTCATCTTTGGTCAGAACTAATCTGCCATTTGGGAATGTTCTCATTTTGAGTAGTAAAATGTAGGAACAGTGAAATTAATAATGTTATATTTGATGGATTCAAGTAGTTTAGCATAACACTAAATTCAGTATTTCATTTCTCTTCTGTCCTTTGCATTATTCTGTGCCTCCGTTCAGTTCCCTCTGCTTCGCTTTTTGTTTTCTATCCAGACCAAGCAAAACAGGCAGCTCAGATAATGAGTAGTCAAAGTTGTGGCTTGTTCTTTTGTTACTAATACTTGTAATAAAAAGTTTATTAATCAGCAAAAGTTAGCACATTAAATCTTCTTTAATTCATAAATTATGGTCCATTTTCAGAATGGCTGCCATTACCTTTGCATCCAATGGCACAGAGGCCACACACTGTTCTTTATAAAGACAGATGGTACCTTCTATTGTTCAAAAAAATTAGTCTGTGCTCATGAGAAATGATAAACCCTGCACTGTAAGGTGCACAGAGGTAGCAATCTTTTTTTTTTTCCCTTTTCACTTTAGTGTATCTCTTACTAAGATCACCAAGTGATGACTATAACAAAAGCAGGGGTTTTTTGTGCTTTTCTGAAGAATTATCTAGTGATTAGTGAAAGAAAAATAACTTGTAAAGATGACAAATAATACCATCTAACTTATTCTCAATCATCCTTCATTCACTAATAACTACTTAAGATTTTTTTTCTCTTTTTACTACAGGTCAATATTGCCCAGGCTTTATTGAGGACACTAAAAATGTGACACTATGCATTTCTTAAAGTATGCACTTATAAAAAGCTATTCTAATACTTAAATGAATTTAAAAATTTATTTCTGTAGATCAGAGTGTGCAAATTGACCCTGTACACAGAGAAGTGCTTGAACAGTGACCAGATACTTCACAGCATCTTAACCACACACAGGTGAACTGCAGCAGTCATTGCCTTCACAACCAATGTGTATTACCCGTGGTACATAATACAGGAAGGACATAATTTCCAAGAGCAATGCAAAGATTCATATCTCCGCTGGCTGGAGGGTTCTCAGAAATGCAGGTCCTGTATTTTTCTTCAGTGTCAGTAAGTTTTCCAAGCAAATTTTCTTTAAGCCAATATAACTCAGCCAAAAATCACATCAAGAATTTTAAAGGGTTGCCTTGATACAAATAATAATTAAATGACACAAAACAAAACCATGGAGCTCACAGAGCTCACAGAATGTTTGAGTTGTCACCATTAAGTTCAACAATAAAATACCCAAATCTAAGTTTAAACAGCCACAACTCAGTATTTTAGCTGAGAACTCCAAGCTTTTGTAGTATGACTTAAACTTCAGTTGTACAGTATTAATCTCAGTGCTGCTGAAATACAGAGCAAAGCAACTGTTAAATTGTAAGCTTGCATAAGGATTGTGAAGGGAAAGATTTTCTTTTCCTGTGCATGGAAAAAATGCAGATAAGAATTGAAACATCTTTATCTGTATATCATGACATGCAAAAATACCCATTAGGTAAGACAAAGAATCTGTCTCAGAAAGCAATCTAACTCACTAGTATAAAAAGCAAGGATTTCACGAGCCCTCAGATCATTTAATAAGAACTGGGAGTCATACAGTGTTTGTGTCACTTAGAAAATCATTCCTCTGAGACAAATATTGAAAAATGGACAGTTCATAAAAACTGGAATGACTGTTTAAGAATCAATGCTGTGCTATTAATCACTAAGTTTAGCACATGCACAAATACACTTTCTGGATGGTGTGTTTATGTGTGATGCCATTTATATCCCTCTACAGGAGAGAAATAATTATCATGTGGCACCTATGAACTTGCCAGTTATTATTTTTATTTCTCATGACGTCACTGAAGAGGTTCATCATGATGTATCAAGCATGTGAAATAAGATATTTTAAGTATTTATAATTTTACTTGTATGTGTACATGTTTATGTATTTATAGACACATATGTACACACATAAATAACTATACTAGTACAGCTAAAAAATATCCCTTAGCAATTACCTAGAAATGTAACAGATGTCCTTATCTAAATAAGATTTCTTAAATTCAGTCCACATTTTCTTTTGTTTCTTGTGGCAGTCTAAAATACTGGGATTTAAGTTTTTATCTTCAAAATTAGATAGATTTTATAAACCAGTATGAGAAAAAAATGCTGTTAAAAGAGAAAACAAGTTGCCATATTTCCTTTGTTTTTACACTGAACAATCAGGTGTCTCTATTACTACCATGTTTTTAACTGCTAACTTAAATCTGATAAAAGCAGTCACCCTGCACAGTCTGTAGCATGATCATGTCATTCCAGACAAACTGGCAGATATGCAGGGACAGAATAAGCTACTATAATTTCCAGTGGAAGCTAATGGTATTTGATCATGTACATATATATGAAACACAACGGTGGGTGTTCCAAAAGTCACAAATGAGCTTTCATAATTAGCTTTATAAACTGTTTAAATAAGGACTTGAAAAACACACTTCTTCTTGCGTATAGTGTCATACTTTCCAACACATCTATTATCACTTTCATTGTATTTTAAACATTTGTTAAAAATTCATTCCTCAGCTGACCTTTTTATTACCTTACGCTTACTTTACTGCTCTGGATCCTCCTCCTTAAACCCCAGACGAAACTTCACTTTTTCTTGGCTTCACTTACCTCTGAGTGAAAGTTTGGCCTGAGTAAATGAAAAGTGCAAGGAGTGCAGGGCTCAGCCCAGGAGAGCTACACCCCACCTGTAATCTCCTCTGTTCCCTGGCATAACAAAGCCTTGCTCTGATTCACTACTCGAAGGAGAAAAATGGGCACAAAAAGTAACCCCTCTTCTCCCCCAGAATACTCAAATGCCATCTTAGAGCTCTACATTGGAATCAAAAGACGGTAACTTACCAGTGAAACTCTGAAAGGTGTAAAGGGTGTGGAGCTACCAGAGGACTATGGAATAGCCATCAAACATGAAGGAACAGTCCCTACATCCCGAGTGAGTGAAGCATGAATGAGACAGATCTGTCAGGTGTCCACATACGATGAGCCACACGGATCTAAAAACTGCACAGTTTGGAGTGTCCCGCCCCCTGCCCCAGATACACAAAAGAGAGAAGAGACTTTCTGGCATTCAAAGACACAAGACCCTTTTTCACTGGAGAGAAGCAGGTACTCCAACAGACATGTATCAGTCTGAGGGGACTTCAGGCAAGTTACAGTAACTGCAAGGGACACAGTGCTGTATAGAATCATAGAATAGTTAGGGCTGGAAAGGACCTTAAGATCATCTAGCTCCAACCCCCCTGCCATGGGCAGGGACACCTCACACTAAACAATATCACCCAAGGCCTTGTCCAACCTGGTCTTGAACACTGCCAGGGATGGAGCATTCACAACCTTCCTGGGCAACCCATTCCAGTGCCTCACCACCCTAACAGGAAAGAATTTCCTCCTTATATCTAATCTAAACTTTCCCTGTTTAAGTTTTAACCCATTACCCCTTGTCCTATCACTACAGTCCCTAGTGAAGAGTCCCTCCCCAGCATCCCTATAGTCCCCCTTCAGATACTGGAAGGCTGCTATGAGGTCTCCACGCAGCCTTCTCTTCTCCAGCCCCAACTTTCTCAGCCTATCTTCATACGGGAGGTGCTCCAGTCCCCTGATCATCCTCGTGGCCCTTCTCTGGACTTGTTCCAACAGTTCCATGTCCTTTTTATGTTGAGGACACTAGAACTGTACACAATACTCCAGCTGAGGTCTCACAAGAGCATAGTAAAGGGGCAGGATCACCTCCTTCAACCTGCTGGTCATGCTCCTTTTGATGCAGCCCAGGATATGGTTGGCTTTCTGGGCTGCAAGAGCACACTGCCGGCTCATGTTCATTTTCTCATCAACCAACACCCCCAAGTCTTTCTCCGCAGGGCTGCTCTGAATCTCTTGTCTTATGGAAACCATTTAAATCTTTTTATAGTTTATTTCTAACATATTCCAGTAGGATTTTCCCTTTTAATTTCCCTTAAAGGGAAACTCAAGTAGTTCTGGCTGCTCAGTTCATTGCATTATCAATGCCAGTATCTTAAAGACAACGCAAAAAAAACCCACAAACAAAAAACAAAAACAAAAAATACCAACAGAACAAAAAATCCCAAAACGACGAACAAAACAACTTTTCTTGATTATAACATTGGCAAACTTTCACTTAAGCTGCAAGTATCTTCCAAAGAACACTTACTAATCTCAAATTCTTTGCAACCCTTGCGAGTCCTAAGTGAACAAGTGTGTGACTGGCAGTTTGGTAACTGTCAGACCACAGATGTGACTGGAAAGGTAAAAACCTGGTCAGTGCAGGGAGGACACCCCACTATCAGTAGAAAGTGTTTGTAAGGGCCAGGTAACTCAGCGCTCACCCTGAGAAACCCCAGAACTATCTTGGGTTACACTCCTGAACGCCATCATTCTCTGTGAATGATGGCCCACTTACAGGGCCGACAGCAATTCTGGCTCTGCTTCTTATTTAGGATTTAACTTTAGTCTGAGTGTAAAACTGTCTTGAAGTGCACATCCACGTTCGAATGCTAGTGGAAATCCTTAAGGAAGAAGTTAACACGCCCCTACACATGCACACTTCTGTGGGCTATGCCCACAGCAATCACAGACATAAATCTACTGCCTCTCCCTCCGCTGCATTTTCTGTGAGGTTTGGACACTTCGCTGCCACTCCAGGCCCAGTTATCAGTCCCCTCTGCGAGCACCGCTGCGGGCATACGGTTCCCTCGGTGGGGCCGGAACAGAGAACACTTATGCCAGAAATACTTAACGCAGTAGGGCCCTTTCCACTATTCCTTCTCAGCACAATCCGCAGAACTCTGGCTCGCCCTGCCCTTCTGGAGCCCAGCTCAGGGTCGAGGGGCACGGCAAGCGGCCACAGGCCCCAGGCCGGCTCCCGCCGCCTGTCCCCAGCGCAGGCTCCAGGTCTGCCCGCGGCCACGTCCCCTCCAGCAGAGTCTCCCGGGCTGCTGACCCGCCCGCCGAGCGGCACAGCCCAGGCTTGCTCTACTTACGCTTTGCGGGAGCAAGGCTATTTTAAATAGCAAAACATTAACTCGTTCACAAAAGTCCGGACAGTGTCGGCTCATAGCTCGTTTAATTAGGAGGGAAAAAAAAAAAAGCCCCAAAGTTCGCTCGGGCTTCGGCAACGACCGGCGGCGGCGGTGCAGGGGCGGGACGCGCCGGAGCCCAGTGCCCGGCTCCCTACCTGCTGCCTCGGCTGGCGACGCGCCCTGGGCAGGGCGGGCAGGTGCCCACAGGCCGCCTGCGGCAGGGGACCTCTGACGGACACTCGTCCTCTGTCCCTCGCTCCCTCCCTCCCCCTCTGTCTCTCTCTCCCCTCCCCTTGCCCGCCTCCCACAGCTGGCAGAGCCGCGGGCATCACACAGCCGCTTGCGAGGGGCCAGGGAGTTTGCCTATCTCTCACGGGCTTTTAAAACGTTGTCACTCTGCTGATAATCCATCCTCCTTCTCGGGCCAGGGTGGGATTTGCTGAGAAATAAACAGGCTCTTCCTCCGAGAGGACAAAAGCTAAGAACCCCCTCCAAGACAGCTGCCGGCCCGCCCCAAGGGGCTGCGCTCGAAGGCGGCGCTGCGGGAGCCGCTCGCTACCTGCACGCCCCGCGCCGCCTGCTGTCCCGCCCGGGGCCCCTTAGGCAGACGGGTCAGCGCCGCCGGCACCGGCTGCGGCACCTTGACGGCCGCGGAAGGCGGGTCTCGGCTCTCCCTTGCTCTCGGTCACAGCGCCGCCCACTGGCGGGCTCGTACGGCTGGGCTCCTGTGCAGCGTCCTCAGTGCCCGGGAGTCTTGAAGGAGACCGTGCCGCTTTCACCCCTGAGGCGTTAGATGCATCTTAAAGCAAAAACCACAAACCCCCAAACTAAAAAATGTTCTTCACAGAAAGGTTTTAACTTTGCTGCCACTGCTGCTCATCCTGCATGAAGAACCCCACAGGGCCTTCGCCTCAGAGTGGTTCAGGGCTGTGGCTACTGTACTTTGACTTGAGTAAAGGCAGCATTGCATCAACTCCTTGAAGCATTCCAAGACAAAACTTGACAAGTTTTATACATGAAAAGCCTGAGTCTTCAAAGTTTGAGAGCCTATACCTGGGACTGAGCATTACAGTGAGTTAGGCACCACATATAAGTCTTTTAAAAGTTTCTTTTCCTCAGACTCTCTTCAGTCAAGATTAGCTGTCAAGCTGTTGTGCACAGGCCCTTCGAAAAGAAGAACAGACTGGTTGCACCTATTTTCAAAATGGTGATTTAAAGGTGGGTCTTGATATTTTCAGCATCAGTACTCAAAAATATTACTGCCACCTGTAGTTTGTTTAGGCTTTTGTGTGTTCTTTAGTGTTGTCCTGAGAAAGGAAAACATTAAACAGAATGACTTGAACTAGCATGACAACTCAACAGTTCTGCAGCAATAACATGATTTTCTGTTGATAGCTACCCTACAGAGCTGAAAACAAAACCGGCTCATTCCCAAGCTCTCTGTTGGTCTGTTTTATAGGAAAAAGTTTTTAGCAATAGTAGTATAGTAAATAGTTTTTAATAGTTTAGTAGTACGGTAAATAGTTTTTAGTAAAAAAACTATGCAAGAAAAATTTTGAAATGCTTTGAGGAGCTGTGTGCAGCAGACGATTGGTGACAAACTGAAACAGACCATCCCCATGTTCTTGAATCCTTGCAATGCTTGTTTGCTTCCTACAAATCTTTCAGCTGAAAACATGAGGGAGGAAGATCTCCCTAGGCACTACTGGTGGCACAAGGACAAATTACTTTGGTCAGAGATGAGTGGTATATCTGGAACACAGTGCTGCCATGATTCTAAGTATAGTAGTATCGTGGTGTGGATCCTGAAACAGTGGGGCATGAAATGCTGTGTATGGGAGATAATCCCAGCAGCCCCAGTAACTCCTGCCTTATAACTTTTTTCATGCAGTCAAGTACCTTGGCTCATCAAATCAGCTGAAACACAGGAAGTTTGATTTAGAGAGAGGTATAGAGATCTCTCTCATTTTCATCAATCTGTCCAAAAGGTTTAAACGCATGAAGCACTGGGTGTTTCCACAATGGCTTTTTAGTTCTCTGGAAGGTTTTTAAGTCATATTTCTCACCACCTGTACAAACCAGCCTTGACAGCTTTTTGTAACAAAAATATTCTTGCTCAGGACAGCAGTGAGGTTCTAGAGCAGCCTTTCACTCCTGCCACAGAAGGTTTCCAAGACAGAATTCAATACATTTCAAACAGGGATAATCTGATACAGTGCTTGCCTACCATTGGACTACACCCATCAGCTAACAATTGCCTTTCCAAGAATTTCCTTATGGGTTCTTACAAGAAGAGGTTTGGGCTGTTGCCAAAACCCTCTGGGACATTTGCAGAAAATGGGACAGGCAAGGATGCAAAATTCCTGAGGGAAACTTGGAGGCAGCAGCTTTAAAAATAAAGATCCAATTACATACTGGTGAGAGCCCAAGCACAAAAGCATATTAAGGAGGTACGGAGGGCTGGTGGTCACATGCTAGAATGTGAGGATCTGAACCCATATGAGGAGGAAATAGGAAAAGTAGGACTTGTCTCCCTGAGGAATTTATTCAGAAGGAAAACATCCTGAGATTTAAACAATGATGCTAAAAAGTGTTTCTTCATGTGTACATTCTGACAGAGAGGTTCCCATAAAAGAGCTGTCCTGCTAGCTTCCTCATTGCCACTTATCTTTAAAGGTGCACAGCACTGCCAGTGGCCAGATGCCCCTTCAGTGTGCTCCAAATTCCTAGGTCCTTGTTATGTTTAAAGGGTTCCCTCCATTGTCATTAATGCTAGATAACAAA